CAAAAACTAAACACAAAATATTTCAATAAACGGGACACACTTCTTTCCTGCAAATACAATTTCACAGGTGTTGCTAATACCTATGATCCTTCAAGGGATGTGCTCAAAGAGGAGTTCAACATTATGAATACAATATAGTGTTTTATTTTACAAATACCATTATAAACACAAACTTACATCTTAAGAAACATTATTTTAATAACGAAACTGCTAAATTATTTCCAACAGTATAAAGATGTGTAGTGTATTTTGTCTGAGTGGGTTTGCCGTACTTTGACGTCATCGGCAGTCGAAGGACCCCGAGCTGATCTTGCACCCGAGCAGATCCTGTACCGACACCGTCAGTCCCCTTTTAGTCCGCAGATCAGTCCCAATACATACTTTTCTGGCACTAGACAGTCTTTTCTTAAATGTAGCTTTTTTGTTTTTGTAGTGTTTTTCAATTAGATTACTTATCTTTGTTTTCTTTGGGACAGTAAACTTCTTATCCAAACTTTCCATCATCAGAATAAAATCCTCATCTTCTACTGTTGTGACCGGCAATCCTGTACATCCAATCCATGTAGCGATAGCCTCTTCTTTAATTTGTTCTTTGGGATCACTCTTGTACTTTGTAGTACTTGTAAATGCATCCTCAATGTTCTGGTTGGACATTTTTGCCTTTTTGGTAGCTGGTTGGCCACCATCAGCAATGGTTTTCTGCAACTGCAAAAAATAAAAAATAAAAATACACAATTAAAACATTGACTTTCTAACAATGATTTACCTGTTGCTTTTTGAGATTTCATACATATATATATATATATATATATATATATATATATATATCACAGATATGAACACTAGATGGCGCCCCTGCGCTGTTCACTTCGCCAGGCTGAGTAAGGGAGAGCTAATATAGGCTACTAGCAGAGGATTTTAACAAAGCCAACCTAAAAACAGTACCGTATTTTCACGATCATAGGGCGCAACGTGTTATAGGGCGCAGCTTCAGTTACGGGCGTCTTTAACACATACAAAAGTTGCACCAGGTTATAAAACGTACCGGTCAAACATCTGTGCGGGCTCAGGACTCTGATCATATCAGTGCAAACCAGACATTGTGAAAATTTTAAACAGCCAAAAGCATGCTTCACTTTACTGGTCTAGTCCTGGTTTAGAGCGCATGTGCAGCGAGTGGCTGCAACCCAAAAAGTACCAGAACCACTCACGGCACATGCGCAATCATGCATCAACACTGCTCGCCCGCTATTTCCCTAATAACACACGTTGTTCGTTTTTATTTCTACACGTGCGCCTTATAGTCGTGAAAATACGGTTCTTCCGAATTTTTATCCCAACATGACAGTGTTGATACATTTTTATATGCCTGTATATTACTTTTCGGGTCGTCACGTGTACAACATTTAAGTGGATTTACCTCGGAGAAAATGGCGAAGTGGCCATTCTGTAGATGCCTCTTCAGATTCGTTGTGTTCTTTCCTCGGAACGACAGTCCACACTCGCGGCATGTAGTTTTGGTAGCAATGTTATCATAAGAAAAATGACTCCACACATCTTTTCTTCTTTTTCACCCAGCAGTTAACATTTTCTTCCACTCCTTCTTATGCCGTTGATTAAATGGTAGGCCTAGTGTTACCTCTAAACGAAGCGGACTCTGATTGGTTCTCTTCTCACCTAGTCCCGCCTGTTCAATTTGTTGATTGGTCCTTTTATTTGCGTCATGCATCTTTCCTGTTTTCTGAACAATGTTCAGCATACCGCGCATACCTGCCCCTTTGTACTATTCGGGGTCTGTCTTCGCTCACGTCCCGCACGTTCACGGCACGCCACGTCCCTTGTCTTCTACTACGTTCGCGTCTCACACAATAGGCACACCGAACCATAGAGCGCCATGTAGAGCGTCATTGTGGATTTTCATCTTGTCTTTCATTCATTGACTAAAAGTTTCAATCAATTTAATTATCGTCTTCGTCTTTTTCCAAGCTTTTATTTTGAAATTTTGTTTCATTTTCGTCTGTAAATATATTTTCGTGACGAAAAAAAGACGAAAATATTTTGTCAACAAAATTAACACTGGTGGAATGTTGTTCAGAACCAGCAAATCCGAAGAAACGATTAGTTCTGGTGGGAAATGAAGGTGATGTCTTCGCACTAAGCTTTGTTTAGGAGATTCATAAACACATTCGACGCCATTCTGTCGGTCTGCGTACCCTTAGCGGACGTCCCCGTCTAGATCAGGAGGTGTAGAGGTCCAGCTTGACCTTTGTGGAGCCGAAGCCTGTAGAAGCAGCCGCGGCAGCCGACCACCAATCTTGAGATACTTCCGGGTCACGACAGTTTATCGGCATCTAACAAGACCCAAAACGGGGTCGTGTTGGTTCAGCTGTTATTCTGAAAGGAACCGTTGCAGCAGGTGGAACAGCAACCAGTTTATCCAGCTTGTCGTTGGTTCTTTCGGCTGAAGAGGAAAGTTACGGATTGGCCACTCCCGACAACTTCTCTCGAACGCTTTGAACTGGCGTTAAAGATGACGTGGGCATAGTTTTATACTTCGGATCTTTTGGTTTATCATCAAATGAAAGGGTGACCGATTTACCAAGCACCACCAAAACCACGCCTCAGTCAGATCTGGCAGATTCTGATTGGATCAGTAAAGCAATGTGCTGTCTCTTGACGCTACATGAGATCAGTCCTAGTGGAATCATTTAAAGTCATGTTACTTATTATATTCTATAGGATTATAATAAAGTAATCAATATTTTGATTTCACAGATTGGTCACATCTTATTATTGACTAATACTTGGTTTGATTAGCTTTATTAAAAATAGAGTTCTTTGATTTATTAAAAGGAGAGAGTCCATTCTTCCTTCTTCTGTTGAGCTGGAAAGAAGCAGTTTAGAAGCAAATGCATGAGTCCTTGAGGCCATATCTCATGCAGACTAGTTCTGTGTCAGAGGAGAGGGGGGAAATGACTTTTGGTGGAAAACAGTCATTTCATTCTGTTACACTATCATCTAGTCCATTGTTTCCCAACCCTGGTCCTCAGGGCACACTGAGCTGCATGTTTTCCACGTCTCTGCTTCACTACACCTGATTTACATCGCCTCCTCAGGAGGACATCAAGTGCTGCAGATGTCTGTTAATCACTTATTCAAGTCATGTGCGTGGCAGCAGGGAAACACTGGTGTTTAAAAGGGCAACATGGAAAACACGCAGGACACTGTGACTTGAGGACTAGGGTTGGGAAACACTGATCTAGTCATTGACATAAAAATAACACGTTTAAACCTCTTTCTCTAGATGTGGAAAAAACTAAAAATAACACAAACCCAGATGTTCTGTTTAGCTCAGTGCTGACTGAACCTCAGTAAAATTTCTTACTGTTTGTTCGTTCTGACTGAAGCTGATGTGAAGTGGCTTTTGTGTGTTTTCAGATGGCATATCAAGTGTGTAGCTCTGAAGAAGCAGTGGGAGAGTAAAGTGCATTGCAGTGTGTTCTGTTATCCGAGCTATTCTTTTCCAGGCACCTCTTTAACTTTGTTACTGCTTTGGCTGCTGGAGCACAGAGCAGCACCGGCTTCTCTTCACTGAGGCTCAGCACCTTCAACTCAAAGCAATCCCACTCTGAACAATTCCTGTCAGAGACTTTAATGAGATATCTAATTCCACTGGCATCAGATCAGTTATCGTCTCAGTCTTTTGGCAGCTGCTTGTGTGATGGAAAATAACACTGATTATGGTTTGGTCAACTTTGGTACCTCCACAAATATTGTTTAACTGCTCAGAACAAAATGGCCTTTTGAATGGTTTGGGAGGTAGACCTCCACCAAGCAGCGGGTGCGGGAAGCTATCATCAGGGTATCCGTGGGTCCTTAAAAAGTCTTAAATTTGCTTTTCCAAATTTAAGGTCTTAAAAATCATTAAAAATGACAAATAATCCTTAAATACAGTTTACAAAGGTCTTAAATGACCAAAGACCCAATAAAAAAGATTCTTTAATTTCTATAAAATTTTCATGAATGTCTAGTTAGTGTTCAGGTTTTTTTGTGTATAATGTTAGCGTAAGCGGACCCGTACACATTCAGCTGGTTGTGAAAGGTGGCTATTTTTAGATTAGCACATTAGCTGGTTAAGCTAGTGGGCGCTTGCGCCATGGGGAAGTGCAAGTTTAATGATAACTGGATGGCTAATCCCACATTTGCGACGTGGTTAGCACCCGTTCCAGGCAATAGCTGGAAATTATAGCTTAAATTTGGTCAAAGTGGCCTTAAAAAATGTCTTAAAAAGTCTTAAATTTGGCTCCCTTAAACCTGCAGATACCCTGTATCATGCACGGCTCTGGCTGATTGAGCTTGATGAAGAGGTTCTAAAAATGGACTCTTTTTGATCCATTCTGATGATGAAGCACTTTCCCTTGGGCTAAGCCCAGATACCTTATTGGGGTATCCCATTCCTGTCGCTTGTGTCCAAATTCCTGACCACATGGTGAGGAATGGAACATGGACAGTTTCAGTTTTCCTAGACAAATAATAAATTTGGTCTTTGAATTGATTTACATTCTAACTAATGTATTATTTAGTGAACCAAGTTTTCTTCGTTGTCCTTTTATTCAACGTTAAATGTAAATTGTTAGGTTTCTGGTGAATGTGACATTGCAGTGACCTTAAAAGCATTTGTGGAGTCTGTTTTAGTTCTGCTGAGTTGTTCTGACCAGTGCTTTGGTTCATTTGGTCCATTGGTGCCACATAAAGATAAATTACCAGAAGAATTTGTAAGCAGGTGGGCAAGAGGTAGAGAAAGAAGGAATAAATGAACGGAAGGAGTGAGTCACGATACAGAGTGAGATTAGAAAAAGATGGATGAGAGAGGGAGCAATGCAACGAGACCTTCTGACGTAGAGGAGGATGTCACATGGCGAGGGAGAGGGAGGACGAGACACGCAGCAACATATACAGAGCAGGCTGAGCGGAAAGCCAGTCGTTTCCCTCATGAGTTTGCACGGTGCAGACGGCCCTGCCTCTTTTGCTGCTACGTCACAGCAGAGCCGAGCCGAGGGAGCAGGACTACCCTGATGCTGACAGGAGCCTGAAGCCGGCTGCTACATCATCTCAGTCGATCTTTTATTGACTTTGCACGGCTCATTTTGGGTTTATTTTTTTCACCCTGATTGTGAGTCAAAAAAGACCCTAGGCTGGAATAGCAAAGAAAAAAGAGCTTCACTCTCTCCTTAACTCTAAAGACCTTTTGGAATATTGCTCATCTTTGGTTATTTTATCTTATCCTTCGTTGGCAAGACAGCTGCACCTTTAAGCCGGAGATTGAGTGTCTTTCATACAGGATCACATGGATTTAGGACCGTATCCAATAAACTCTCTTCTCAACTGAAAGACTGAACTTAAACTGATTCTGAAGCATCAAGAGCTCAATCAGACCTCTGTGGATCTATCTGGTACTCTTAGACTGAAGTTATTAAGTTTTGTGTTCGAAAGAAGGACTTGAACACTGACTGCACATGTGTAGTGCTTGTTGAACGCCGTGACCTACAAATCCCATTCTGTGTTAATGAATGTGTTTCCCAGTGGAGCTGACAAATAGATACCTCGTCACTGCTGACTCACTGCATATCTGAGAATGCCTCGCTTCATTGCTCTAAATTTAGATTTAAAGCTTCTAACTTTGTTTTGTCCGGGGAAAAGGAACGCTAATTGGAAAGAATGGAAATGTGACGAATGTCTGGGTGGTTCACAGCTGCAAATATGAGTTATTTTTCTAATTGTGGTTATTATGAGTAAATCAAAAATTCTTATTTTTTGAAAGTGGATAAACAACCTATCCACAAATCCCAGTTCTTCAAGAAAACCTTTAGTTCCTGCTTGGCTTTTGTCCAAGGACAACATCGATTGGATGATTTTCTCTCTGCTTACATCGGTGTACCAGTGATGCAAACCAAGTTTATTTGGACTTGAAGGAACCTAATAACCTCCATATGTTTGAGCCAAAGTTTCACTTACCATGGGATATCTGTTGAGTTTAAAGTGACCAATCGTGTAAAATGGTGGTGACTCGTTTGGAACTTGAGCTACGCTACCAGGGCAGGAAGCTTCGTGGAGTGACATGGAAGCTGACCCGATCAGAACACGGTTTCCTACCAGAGAGCTCCTGGCTCATTGCAGCTCAAGTCATAGTGCCGTACTTGATCGCAGGACTTGGGATGGTCTCCGCTGGGATTGTAATGGACCTTATGCAAGTATGCAGATTTAAACCTTTATCAGAAGATGGATGATGTACACGTAGTTGTGAAACCCTAGCAACTTTATGTCCAATCTTAGGTAAAGGGTGAATAGGGTACTTTCGTATTACTTGTGTACTTGTCATTCATCAAAGCTTCCTTAGTTGTTAACTGCTCTAATATTCATCCTTTCTGGACTGAAAAGGCTTTTTTGCATGACAGGTCCAGTTGCTATTTATTATTATAACCTTTCACTAGAATCTTGATTTCTCATACATAAGTTACAGTTTTACTTTCAGTTTCAGATAATCATTCAGTATAAATTTAGGTCAGACTATCCATGGTCTTTTGAGATAATACATACTACGTATGATTTTTGTTAAAGATTATAGAAAAAATTGTTGATAAAAACAGAAAAAAAGAAAGGCGTTGTTTTAAAATATTCGGATGATCAGGTTGATAATTGTGACAAAAGTGAGTAGAGCTGCTCTAGTTTTGAGATTACGTCATTATGCATCAATTTACTGTAAATCCATTATATTTAAAGCTGCAATAGCAAATTGACAGAAGAAGCTAGCTCGCCCCTCCCGTCGGGTATAATTCCTGGGCTACATTTGCCGGAATCGCAAACCTGCATTGCCAAAGGACACAAAATAGTGCTAAACACCAGTCACTGTTTCTACAGCTTTTGTGGTGCTGGCTGTTTCTCCTTCACTGACACTATAGAGCAGAGAATCTCTCACACGGTCGTGTTCTGTTGCAAAATGTGCGAGTGCGTAATGAATGGAGGACCCAGGGAAGTGCGGCGGTTTGGTGAAACCGACAACTGGATGGTCCAATGGTTGCTTTCGAATCACTTTATCACTTTTTTACTCTCTACAACTTATTTATAGCTATAATATGTTAGAATGTTGTTAAGTGGCATGAAAGAAAGATAAAAGCTGGTTTTATTTGCAGATTTGCTTTAAATGATTCTGCAAACGGGTTTATATCTTTAAAGAGCAAGTCACCCCCAAATCAACTTTTTTTCCTGATAAACTATATAAATGCTTGTCTAATCGTGCTGCAGACGCGTGTAGTCAATAGTTTAGCACTTTAGTGCATTTTTGTTTTAAATTCAAATTTTCTGTAAAACTTTCAGTGTTGTGCCGTTGTCAGGTACAAACTCTGCACTGCATTTTGAATTTAAATCTGCCATCGCTGTTGGCTAAGAGGTACCCTAGAACATTAGCTGGTACCATATGATGTCACAATGTCGTTGTGAGCCTGTGCGTGTGTGTGTGTGTTAGCAGCTCTGCCCTTTCTGTCTACTAGGCAACATCATTTGTTGCATTTTTCAAACAGGAAGTGGCAGTGGAGTAATACTCTGGTAGGGGGTGACTTGCTCTTTAAGCATCCACTTAAAAAAAAGCAAAAAAGGTGAAAGAGTGTAGTTTTGTATGAAGAATGTAATTCCTGTAAAGACAACTCCCCCTCTGGTGCAATTCCAGCTGTTTTATTGTGGGATCGTTGTTTCGTTAGTGGTGCCTTTTTGTTTTTAAAAGAGAACTCATGCAAACCTGACACTAAGTGCAACAAACTACAAAGCAAAAATTTGAACAGAACTACTTATGTTGTTGTCCACAGATGAAGCCTTCTGTAACATCCAGCATTCCAATCTCCCCAAATCAAATTTTAGATGTGGGAGAGCAAAGGCAGAGCACTGGACCGTTAAATCAAATAAAAGCTCTGCAGATGAGCACTAACGTCAGAAAGAGGGCGCGGCGGGGTAAATGTTCAGGGAAATTAGATGTTGCTAGAAAACTAAAAGAGAATTCCTTAAAAAAGAAGTCCTGCAAACATTAAAAGTGGTCTCTGATTATCAACAGTTGAGCTGATGTCACGAAAAATGTAAAAAAAAAAAAAAGTAGCGACGTGAGAAAATATCTATACACTGAAATATTACAATATTTTCATTATGATATTAAGTCAATATTGAAGAGCAGTGTATTGATTTTTTTATTCAGAATTTACATGCAAAACATTTACTGTATTTCTTCTGTGTGGTACAATTCAAACTCCGGCTGCTGGGTGGCAGCAGATTTTACTGCCTTCATTTCGAGATCTTGCGATAACACCAGATGTGTCTTGGAAGCGTCTGACCTGAGTTTTTTAGTTAAAGGTGTAGTCACTGAAAAAAAACATTTTTAATGATTATTTCTGATTCTAACAGGTCACTCTGAGTTTTTCATGCAGGCTGAACAAGAAAACAGTCTCCTACACCTATCTCCTGCATTAGCATCTGATAGAAAACAGACGGTGAAACTCTAGGATTAGAAACTCCTGACAGATCTACATCACATTGTCACTAACATTCATGGACTCACCCATCTGGACTCACTACGGGGAAGGCTGTTGTTGGTTTAGCGTCCAGGAAACAGCAGAGAACGTCTCAGCTAGTAGAAGCTAACTGTTAGCGTTAGCAACTTCACCACACAGCAGAATTCCTCCAGGCTTGTGTTATCTGTGGAGATGAAACATCAGAATTGCAGAGCAAATGGAGTCAGTGGTAGAGTCGTGCTGCTGTTAGCCAATCAGAGGTGAGATGTCTAGATATCTGATCTGGCTCACTCAAAACTCCTAAAACAGGTGCATCTGAACTTTTATCCCCCAGAGTTTGACTTACAAGTAGGCGTGGGCAGTATAAATGATATAAGGTAGAAACGATCTAAAATTGGGTAATGATAGAGTTTTTGGCTATCGCAATGCTGCGATATCGCGAAAACACATGACGTCATGAATGTCAGCACCCTGCTGACATTGGGGCAACAAAATGGCAGTGACTGCAAGCATGGAGGGGGTGGAGGAGGAGGCCTAAATGCCTCAAGTGACATATATTTGCCACATGAGGATATTTAAAAGCATGTCATTTCTACATATATAAACAGAGGAAAAAATATATTGCAATTTATATCGTTACCGCACATGCTTCAGATTATATCGCAATCTATATTTGAGGCCATATCGCCCAGCCCTACTTACAAGCATTAATTCCTAATAGAAACCACTGCTAATGTACAGATTAAACGAGTGAACTGAATCTTTAAACTCAGTCAACAATCATTTGGCTTTTAGGATCATAAAACATCTTATCGTCCCGCCTTTACTTTGATATCTTGCAGATACAGACCCCTTTAAAAAAGGATGTTTTACTTTAATAGATTTTGAATTAAAAATGTTGTCTTCTGGTACATCTTACTCAGCTAGTAAAACTGGGCCAAGTCCCAAGATGTTCTTTCTCTGTGACAACCTTCAGACCCTCCAGTCCACAACCTGAGTGGAATATGTATTAATACACAGAAATATACAGAGTAAGGAGAAAATTCTACACCCCTTGTGTATCTGTTGTATCCTTTAACAGTTTATTATTTACTGTATATTTTAAATGTATTGTTTCTCTGGTTTTCTTCCCATAAGTCAAAGTTTACATTTAGCCTTTCTCTGTGTCATTGCTTCTCCATCACGTCTTGTTTGACATCACACAGATATTGTCTTTTTGTTTGTTTAATACTTGAACCCTCTTGAGTCTGCCAGCTGGAGCTTTAGTCAGAAAAAAGAAGGCTGACTGGAGTATAATAGCCCTAAACCCACTGAACCTACGCAGTACAGTTGGACAGTAGAAAAGTAGGCTACTGGGTTAGTCTAGAATATCTGATGAGCTTATTTAACTGCATCCATTGGAGAAAGGTTCAGAGGGTTCATCGGAGCAGGACCTTCCTTTGATTCTAATATATATATTTTTTTATCTCCTGTGTGTGTTTTTCAGCACTGGGAGGTGTTTAAGGTGATCACTGAGGTTTTCATACTGGTTCCTGCTCTGGTTGGACTCAAAGGAAACCTGGAGATGACCTTAGCTGCTCGGCTCTCTACTGCTGTAAGATGAAATGTAATGATTTAAATACACGTATTAACACACACAGAATGTGCTGGGTATTGGCTTAGCTTTCCAAATGATGAGTCTGTCTAAAGGAGAGCAATTTGATATGATTAAGGTAAGTTGTGATTGCCCTCTCCTACCTAAACATGCACAAAAGCATGTAACATAATGCATGATGGGCCCGTATAATGGTTAGTTCTCAAATACACTCTTCAAAGTTAAAGTCCCATTAGTCATCATCACATGCTGGTGAAATGACATCTTCGCATTTGACCCATCCCCGTGGGGAGCGGTGAGCTGCAGCAGGGGCTGCGCTCGGAAACTTTTGGATGATTTAACCCTTTAATTCAGCCCCTTAGTGCTGAGTGTCAAACAGGGAGGCATCGGGTCACAGTTTTAAAGTATTTAGTATGACTCGACCGGGATTTGAACCTCAGTCCAGCACAGACGCTGTACCATTGCGCTACTGAGAAGTTAGTTATAGTTTGCAAATTCCCACGCAATTTGCCCAACCAGTCTACATGTGTTTTGTGGATTTGGAGAAGGTGTTTGACCGTGTCTCTCGGGGGGCCCTGTGGGGGGTACCCTGGGAGTATGGGGTACCAGGCCCTCTGATACAGGCTGTTAGGTCCCTGTATGACCGGTGTCAGAGCTTGGTCCGCATTGCCGGCAGTAAGTCGGGCTCGTTCCCAGTGAGAGTTGGACTCCGCCAAGGCTGCCCTTTGTCACCGATTCTGTTCATAACCTTTATGGACAGGATTTCTAGGCGCAGCCAAGGTGTGGAGGGCATCCGTTTTGGTGGTCTGAGGATCAGGTCTCCGCTTTTTGCAGATGATGTGGTCCTGTTGGCTTCATCAGAACGTGATTTTCAGCTTTCGCTGGAGTGGTTCACAGCCAAATGTGAAGCAGCTGGGATGAGAATCAGCTCCTCTAAATCTGAGACCATGGTCTTGATTCGGAAAAGGGTAGAATGCCTTCTCCGGGTCAGGGATGATGTCCTGCCCCAAGTGGAGGAGTATCTCCGGGTCTTGTTCACGAGTGAGGGAAAACTGGAGCTTGAGATCGATTGGCGGATTGGTGCTGCATCTGCAGTGATGCGGGCGTTGTACCGGTCTGTCGTGGTGAAGAGAGAGCTGAGTCAGAAGGCGAAGCTCTCGATTTACCGGTCGATCTACGTTCCTACCCTCACCTATGGTTATGAGCTTTGGGTAGTGACCGAAAGAACGAGATCGCGGATACAAGCGGCTGAAATGAGTTTTCTCCGAAGAGTGGCTGGGCTCTCCCTTAGAGATAGGGTGAGAAGCTCGGTCATTCGGGAGGGGCTCGGAGTAGACCCGTTTCTCCTCCACATCGAGAGGAGCCAGTTGAGGTGGCTTTGGCATCTGGTCAGGATGCCTCCCTGGTGAGGTTTTCCGGGCACGTCCAACCGAGATGAGACCTAAAGGTAGACCCAGGATACGGTGGAGGGACTATGTCTCTCACCTGGCCAGGGAAGGCTTTGGGATTCCCCCAGAGGAGCTGGCCCAAGTGGCTGGGCAGAGGGAAGTTTGGGCCTCTCGCCTTAGGCTACTGCCCCCGCGACCCAACTCCGAATAAGCGGATGAAAATGGATGGATGGATGGATTCCTCTCCTTTAATTAGACTAATTGTGTTGCATATCCATGGAAAGCCTGACTAGTGATTAGGTAACTATGTTGTATCTGTAGAATGAACAAAGCGACTAAAAACTCCTTTAATATTCTACTGTTGATAGTCATTTGTTTCTGGCACACAAGTGTGGTTGACCATCACCAGCTCCTGGTTGAGGAATGGGATGTCACTCCACAGAAAAGCCCGACCAGACGGGTGACTGGCATGGGGAGGAGAAGCCGAGCAGTTGTGGCTGCGTTTGGATCGTCCACATTCCATTGCATTTTATTTATAAAGCACATTTCTACACGGCCGAGGCCAACCAAAGTGCTGCACAGTAAAAGAGCATAAAAATCAACCCACGGGAACAAGTAATAAAAGTAGTACAGTAACTACTATAAAATCAACAATAAAAATTTAACAGAGACGTAGTACAATTTTAACTAGGCTGAAGCAAAAGCCAAGGAATTAAAGTGAGCCTTCAGGCGTGATTTAAAATCAGAAAGAGAGGGGGCCATTCTCACTGCTAAAGGGAGTTGGTTCCAGAGATGAGGCGCACAGATTGAGAACGCTTGTTCTCCTCGTGTCCTCACCCGAACACTTGGGACCTGTAACAGGCGGTGGTCTGCTGATCGAAGAATTCGACCAGATACGTAGGGCTGAACCAGCTGAGTCAAGTACAGAGGCTAATAAAGATAGAGTGACTTAAAAACAAGAAGTAAAATTTTAAATTGGATGTGGTAGCGCACCGGGAGCCAGTGCAGCTGGGTCAGAACAGGAGTAATGAGCTCCCTCCGTCTGGTGTCCGTCAAAAGGCAGGCTGCCACATTTTGCACCAGCTGTAGGCACGCAACCGAGGAAGATGTGGATCCATAAAAAAGGGAATTCGCATAATCCAAGCGAGAGATTACAAATGCATGGATCACTGTGTGCAGGTCGCGTCTAGTCAGGATGGACTTCATCTTTGATAGCCGGCGAAGCTGGAAAAAGCAGGATCTAACCACCTGGGTAATGTGAGAGTCCATCCGCAGCTCTGGGTCCAAAACCACCCCCAGGTTAGTGATGGTTGGCTTCACTAAGCTGCAACAACGGGGTGGCAGGACAGGACTAACTGCAGTGGGAGAGGGAAGAACAAATAAATGAACCTCCAACTTAGACTCGTTCAAATGTAAAAAGTTATTATAAAGCCAGCCCTTCACCTCATTCAGGCAATCCACAGCTGGTTGCGCCAACTCTTGAGGGTTTAATGAAACATAAAATTGGCAGTCATCAGCGTACAAATTATAAGACACGCAATGTTGCCTAAAAATAGCTGCCAGAGGAAGAATGTAAAGATTAAAAAGCAGAGGTCCTAAAATAGAGCCTTGGGGAACACCACAGGGCAGAGAGGAGGCTTCAGAGGCAAAATGCCCCAGCTTCACACAAAAACTTCCGTTGCTGAGGTACGATCTGAACCAGTTCAGGGCAGTTCCCTGGATACACACTACCTGGTTCAGTCGGGACAGAAGTATAGCATGGTCTACGGTGTCAAAAGCAGCTGTGAGATCCAGCAACACCAGTAGAACATGGGAGGCGGAATCAGTGGACCGCAGAACATCATTAAGGACTCTAAGAAGGGCAGTCTCAGTATTATGACCGGGACGGAACCCTGATTGCAAAGGGTCTAAAATGTTCAAATGCTATTGAGGCCCAAATATCTGCTGTTTTCTTTGTGCCCGTGCAAAATCCACCAAGAAACTCAAAACAAGAGTGAAAACCAACAGTAGAAAGTTTCAGAGGAATTTGACACGTTACCCCCTCATTTACCTGTGTGGCTCGCTTTACAAATGCACAGCTTTGTAAGGTGAACAATCAGGCTATGCATCAAAATGGGTATCTTTAAAGAGAAGAAAGGTTGGACTACAATAATGTTTCCATACTTTGAGGAGTGAAGTATGTATGAGTCAGTCACCGTGGTTACATGCACGTCTAAATCAAGCTACAGCAATAAAGGAGCTAATACCATAACCAGACTGGGAGCCTTTAATCATATTTCATATGTTTGTTAGAAAACCGAATTATTGAATGAAGAGCGTTCCGCTCTGGGACTGTAGGTGGGGACGTGTCTGTTCTGTCGGCATTCTTCCAGTTAGCTTATAGCAACACAAAGAGGAGTATTCCAGTTTGGTTCAACTTCAGCTCACAATGTTTCGGTTTTCTGACATTGCATGTACTCACGCTATCATCGTGGAGAAATTCTCACAAAGAAACAAGTTAATTACCTCAAAACAGAAAATCAAGAGCAGATTTCTACCATAAAAAATCCAAACTTTTTACTTATGAACCACCATATGGAATATTTGTAGTCATTCATTGATGAGACAGCGGTTTATCTGAACAACATCCACTTCTAGAGCGACCGAGTGCACTGATCTTCCGTCCAAACCGAGTCCTCGCTGAATGTTTTGGTGTGTTTTTTTTACGCCACTGTAACCAATTTTTTTTTTTTTTAAGTTAATGTGACCTCCCTTGTTCTTAGGCCAACACAGGCCAGATGGATGACCCAGATAAGCAGTGGACCATGGTGTGCAGCAATCTGGCTCTAATACAGGTAACCTCAGGACTCACGAGCCCTTCATGTTTAACCTACAATAACATTACACTCTTCTGTGTCAGATGTATTTATCGTACTGATGAATGATGTCTCCTGCAGGTTCAGGCCACGGTGGTGGGATTCCTGGCAGCGGTGGCAGCCATTTGTCTCGGTGCTATTTCCAGAGGAGGCATTGAACTGGATCAGGCTGTGGTTCTATGTGCTAGCAGCATCACCACCGCCTTCGTAGCTGCTCTGTCTCTAGGTTTGTGACTGGAGGAGCTGGGCACACTCGGTGAACGTCGCATCAAAATGAACCTGTGAGAGATGAAAAAACAAGAAGCATGACCGTGTTTTGATACACACTGGGTGTGCCAATTCACCATAAAATCAGTACGTCACTGTGTTCAAAAACGGTTAAAAAAAATGCCGAAAACTGCTGCAAAGCGTGGAAGGAACATAAGTTGTGCGTGCCCGTGCCGGCCGGACATTTTTAGGTGCTTTAAGTCCGCTTCAGCCACTGAGCGTGGGGTTTAGTCGTCAAGATTAAAGGAAAGTTGTGTAAAACTAAAATAAAACACTTCAGCAACCGGGTCCGAATGTAGGCATGGGCAAGGAGGGGCAATGGTCCCCTAAAAATAGTGACTGCCCCTCCAAATGCGATGACATGTAGAAATCCCAAATTTCAGAAGATTTGATGAAAAAGGGTCAGAGTGCTCTCCTCTCTCTCGCCCTCATTCAAAGTTGCTGCTGATTGGTAGATGCATAGGGAGGGTGTGGCCAGCCACTGCACTTGGTTCTCTGTTGTGTCACTCGCTCCCAGACAGTCAGCAGCAGAACAGAGACACACCGTTGTTATCTGAGCTCACCAGCCACTGGTTGAAATTTTCTTCTGCTGTCGATCACTGGAATAATTTGGTTACTTTTTCTCAAGGTTTTAGTTTGCCTCATTCTCTTCTTTAATTTGTTTTTGAAGTGAACCGAGACGACATGCGCAGGTTTCTGGTTTCTAGACCGAGCAATAGTGCTAAGGAACTAGCGGCAGAAGCCGGCTCGTCGGGCGCTGCTTCTCAACTCGCCACAACCCCCACCCCCCCACCCCGTATTCAGGGCAGTACTGGAACAACCAGTTGCACAAGCACCTCAGCCCCTCCAGCTGTCCCCGTCGCTACTAACCCCGTCGCTGTGGGTGACAGGCCTGAACAGTAGCGCACCGTCCCAACGCACCGCTCTTCTTTTCCCCAAGCGCCATTTTGGGAAGAATATGCGCTCATTTTGCCCTGCCTGGAATCGTGAGAGCCCATGGCTGGAATATTCAGTAAAGCTGGATGCGTGCTTGTGTTTCCCGTGTCGTAAGTTTGGAGGGAACAATGATAGGGATTTGGTTTTCACAAAACAAGGATTTAGTAATTGGAAAACAGCACTGGAAAAGGACAAGGGATTCACAAAGCATGCATCAAGTCAATGCCACATAAAAAATGAAAAAGCTGGTCTGAAATGTCCCAAAGAGTGGCCACAGGGGAAACGATAGGTAGTTTAATAAGTCCCACATAAATCGAAAAAAACAGATACTTTGTAAAACTATTGAAGTAGTTCAGTTCCTAGCAGTAAATGAACTAGTGTGGAAAGCTCCAGTGGTGATGATTTCTCTGCAGGACTGTTCTTAAAGATGGTCGACTACACACTGGCCAAAGACTCCAAATTTAATGAAATAAACAAGCACATCCCAGAAAAAGCTAAATAAACATCTCACAAGATACAAAACAAATTATTGCAACACTGGCAAAAATTGTATTAAAAAAGATCAAAGATAATTATGACAAAGCAGATTATGCTGGTTTTGCGTTAAAAGTGATGGAACTAGGGACAGATGTGGAGAATCGGTCAGTCATGGTTAGATTTGTCGGTAATTGCATTCCAGAGGAACACCTGATGGGTCTGCTTGACCTCAGTCAGTCAGATGCTGATTTTATTACCACCCAAATTCTTGAGCATCTCTCTGACTCAGGCTGTGATGCAGCTGAAATGATCAGTCAGTGCTATGACGAGCTTCTGTCATGAGTGGGCTCAGGGGTGGGGTTCAGGCCTTACTGCAGAAGAAGGTAGGGAAGGATGTTCCCTACATCCACTGCTACAACCACCAGCTGCACTTGGCAGTGGTCCATGCAATGCAGGCAGAGCCATGTGCAGAAACCTCTTTTGATCTTTCAGGATCTCTACACTCATTTTTCCACCGTCATTATGTTTCACAGAACTCATGAGTATCCTGTCAGAGGTTACAGAGGACAGAGCTGCTGCTGTTGATATCTGCACAGAGGCATCAGGACTGTTGATGTTAAGGAGGCACAATTTCTTTGAAATAGGAAAATTCCTCCTAAAGGTTCTGGGTTCCTTGAAGTCTGCAAGTTCTATGCTGCAGTCTCACTCTGTTGACCTGTGCTGTGCTTCTGAAGTAGTCAGTGCATCTCTGCAGGCTTTGAAGCAGATGAGAGATGAGGAAAGTGAGACATTAACCAGCACACCTGCACCAGCTGCTAAAAGACAAAGAAAAACAAGCTCACTGCTAACAGGTGGTGTTGTAATGTCCACTGTGGAACACGCAGAAGACTCCACAACTCCTAGCCAGGCTCTGAAGAGAGCTCTTCAACATTTTGGATATAGTCGTTGTAGAGATGGAGACAAGATTCTCCAAAAGCATTCTCGATCTCATGAAAGCAGTTAACTGCCTTCAACCTCAGTCTCCCTCTTTTCTGGATCCTGACGTAAGTCCTCTGCAGAAAATGACAGGAAGTGACAAACTTTCCAATGAGATTCTTGTTGCAAAAATAATGTTGGAGAAAGAGTTCAAAAGGACTGATGTTGATAACAGTGAAGAGGTTGTAGACCTCTCCATCATTTGCAAATGGGTATAAGAATGCCTTTCCTCAGCTCCATCGCATGTATGTGACCTCCCTTGTGATTGGAATATCAGCAGCATCATGCGAGAGCTCTTTCTCCACTTTGTCTCGTGTTCGTACCCCGTCCCGCCGTACTACGCTACACGAGAGAAAAAGAAATGTTGTCATTCTGGCTCACGAGAAGACCATAACAGGCCTAGGTATGGATGGATTTGTTAGGACTTTAGCACAGAAAAGCAGACGGCTGATGCTGTAATGACTGATAAAAGCCATAAAGAAATAAAAACAACAAAAATTCTGAAAAATAAATAAAAAATATATAAGTAAAATAGAAAATGTAAGGATAGACAGATAAGATAGATAAAATATATTAAAGGCATAAAAAACAATATAAGAGAGAGAGAGAGATCAAAGGAAAAGATAGATGTATGGATAGAAGATCTGTAATGATGATAGCATTGTTTTCTATGCATTTTAGGAATTTGGAGGTATGTGACACCTGAAAAATTATTTCCCAGACCTGCCCCCCGATATTCTACCAGCACCCCTTTGTAGGGCTGGCTAAATCCGGCCCTGTCAGCAACACTACCAACATGTGACAGCACCGTACACATTTCCATTCCGGGTTAGATGAAGAGAAGAAGGCGGTGGTTGTTCCGCCTCACTGGCCAACAAATGAGGAAGGATCAATGAAACTTGCCCGAAACTCCAGACTCTTTCATAAAACTACAGCGTTCACCAGCAAGCCGTTGGTCATTCATAAGTGATCCGCCCGTGGCGGTAATGGGGCGCAATCATGTGTTTCCACCAAGATTACACAGCGGTGGTATAAAGTGGGTGTGGGTCTTCATGCCATCATGAACTTCCCTTTACGTTGAACATAAATTGCGTTTAAGGCCAATTGAAGCAAAGCTCCTGTGGTTTTTTCACGAGCCGCTCCAAAAGGTGTCCTTCACAGTCCCACGTGAGCGCTCTGGTGGTCTGAGCTACAGATCTAAAAGCCAGAAGCTCCAGGATCTCCACATCGCTCCAGTCTCAGCTGAAAACTGTCCGTGTTTACTTTCCTTTTCATAATTAACGTTTTCCTGTAGATTTCACGCAGAAGTATGTTGGGTATGTGTTCAGTTTAACATGAATATGATAGAGAAGTAAAAGGGGTATAAGCCTCAACTGTGAAAATAAAGTGCATCAGAAATAGTGGTAGTCATGACGAACATTTAGTCGAATGGCACCGCGAGGCACCTCAGGTGGCACACCCCAACACGCACAGTTCATACAGGAAGGCTCGGCTGACCAACTATTGCAACAGTTCAATTGCATTTCTGTTCAAAGTTTGGAAATTATAATTTTCTATTTGCCACAAAATTCTGCATCAAATTATCTTGAATGTTTTATTAAAACAATGAAGAGTTTTTTTATACCTGATGATTCAAACCATTTAGGATAAAATGTTCACCTACACTAATGTTTACAGTGCATTTCTAAAATAGAGAATTTCATCAAACTTTTACATATTTATAATTTATTATCATAAATGACTTTTCACTTAACTTGGCCCTCATCTTGAAAAGTTTGGACACCCATCTATTTTATTACGTCTGTTTTAAACAACAGTTACTTAAACTCAGTCACTGAACGCACCGTTAGCTGAACGGAAGCTAACATATCAAGTTAACGTTATCGTAAACATTTTATTTACCTACCGGAGCAGATTAAGATGATGATGCCTCACTTAGAGGCAGGTTTCATCATCACCCAGTTACCCATCCCACTTAGTGAAGTGGACCCCATCTTCAGAACACTTCCTGTCTGCCGTGCTGCTTTGTTTACTGCTCGCCCACAGTGACTGACGACTCTTGCGCCGGCGCGGCACAGGTACCTAAACAAGGCACCGATTCATATGACGTGAATCACTCAGTCGGTACTGTGGAATTCGGTCGGTGCCTTAAAAAGTACCGAATTCGGTACCCATCGCAAAATATATCCGAGCAGAAGCAATAAGTCTCTCCTTACACTTTTGCTCCTCTTTTAATGTCATTTAAGATTTATTACACAGTTGTTGTTGTTTTTTTTTGTTGAGCTTTTCTCACAGTAGTGCGGTTTGCTCCAGCAAGCCGTCACTCTGTGTGGCTTCTGCTCTGCTTCCTGTAAACCTCGATGGAAGAGGCTAATTGTGTCCGTGTGTCCTGTTTGTCCCATCGTCCGTCTGCAGGTCTGGTGATGATTGGAGTCATCATTGGATCCAGGAAGGTGGGGATCAACCCGGACAACGTGGCCACCCCCATTGCAGCCAGTCTGGGGGACCTGATCACCTTATCTCTGCTGGCTGGGGTCAGCAGCACGCTTTATGTGTACAGAGGTGAGAATGAAACCAGACTTGTCCACTATGTACCACAAGATGGCAGCAAAACTATCTTTTATTATTTTAAACACAAGAAATGAGTCATTTGCAATGGTTTATACAGAGTAGTTGAACCTTGTCATTAAAATCATAAACAAAAAAACGTTTTTTCTCCTTCCTGAAGTGCTATTTTCTACAGCCTGTGGATTATATTGATGTTTGGAGCATTAAAAAAAAGAAATCCTGACCACCATATAACTTTTTTTTATATTTATAGTTGTTGTTTAGCACAACATGTCCCAAATGTGGTGTGAAATCCTGGAAAAGAGTTGAATTTTATATTTTGGGAGGTTAATGTTGTGTTGAATGACCTTATTTACGGTCATGGGTCACGTCGGTTCTGCATCGTGACACTTGTAGGGGCTCCTGAGCGGTCGACTCCACCTTTAATAATCTCCTCCCCCTCAGACATCTGGTACCTGTCCCCTGCGGTGTGCCTGGTCTTCATCGCTCTGATCCCTCTGTGGGTGGTGGTGGCCCGTCGGAGTCCTCAGATCAGAGAGGTTCTCCGCTCAGGGTGGCAACCTGTCATAGTCGCCATGTCCATCAGCAGGTACACACCTGGTTCTGTATGCCAGTCAGATGTTTGGATATTTGATATTTCTGCTGTTGGTTACAAACATCTGGACCGGTCAGCAGATGGTGAGAATGTGTCGAGGTGCAGAAAGCACTAATTGAGACAGCAGCTTGAGAAATTGAGCGAGAGCAGACAGATCTTTCGTTTAAAAGAGAGCCGTTACGCAGAACTCTTCTTTTGAATCCTTTTGTGATGCCTTCTGGTTTTCTGCCGCATCTGTCAAGACTCCAAATGTGAAAATCGTTCATCCCTCTGTTTTCTGTCAGTGTTTGATCTGAGAAATTACGTACCTAAAACAAGTAATTTAAAAAAGTCCCCATTTGTGACATCACTACAGGATAGTTAGTATCGAAACACCACTGAATCAGCTGTGTTGGAGCAGAGAAACAACTAAAACGTGTTGGACACCGGCCCTCCAGGACTATGATTCAGGACCACTGCAATAGGGCAGCTGCTCTACTCAGAGCCCCTCCCAGATATCAACTTATAGCAGCCAATCACGGCATGGGTGGGCATGGCCAGCAATAGATTGTGTTCTTAAAGTGACAGAGCCCCGAAACGGCTCATTGTGGAAGGTTCTGAAACAGTCAAGAATAAAACAGCTGAGTTTGCTTAATGTCAGAGGGATTTAGTTCAAATAACTTCATGAACTTGTTTCTCACCTCATCATTTATCAGCTGGAGTAGAAAATAGAGCCGTGTTTAATCCGTAGTCAGAGCTTCTTTAGTGCGAGCTAGTTTACTGTGAATGGTTCACAGCTGCTTTTATATTTAGGGAAAGTTGAAACGTCAGACTTTTGTTTTCTGCAGGCTTTTTAATAAAGAGGACTTCTATTTTTAAATTTCTTTAATTTATTTTCTTATTTGCTCCAAAAATAAAAACCTAGAAGCGACAAGAACCCACTCAATACGTAAACAGTGGTTAGAAAGTGACAGGATACCGTTCTGACTCTCTCTGTGATGTTGCAGCTTTGGAGGCCTCATTCTGGACAAGACGGTGAGCGATCCCAACTTCCAAGGGATGGCTGTCTTTACGCCCGTCATTAATGGTAAGCCGATCGGCTCATGAGGTGGTTATTTGTGAAGTACCTTATCCTGTTGCGTGAACAAACAAAATGATCTTAACAGTAAAACGAGAAACTAAAAAAAATGTGTTTTTCTAGAAAAAGATAAAAAAATATTAGGAATTTTATGGAAAAAGAAAAGTAACTAAGAGTAAACATCTTAGCTGCTTTGAAAGCAACAAGCTGAATATTTAAAGAGCACTCTGAGTTTCACATGCAGGCTGAACCTGAAAATAGTCTCCTACCCTATCTCCCACGTTAGCCACTGACAGAAAATAGACGTGGACATGCTCAGATTAGAAAACCCACTGACATCTACACTCACTGGCCACTTTATTGGGTACACCTTGCTAGTAACAGGTTGGACCCCGTTTTGCCTGCAGAACTGCCTTAATCCTTCAGAGCACAGATTCAACTAGGTACTGGAAACATTCCTCAGAGTTCTTGGTCCATATTGACATGACCGCGTCACGCAGCTGCTGCAGATTTGTCGGCTGCACGTCCGTGATGCAAATCTCCCGTTCCACCACATCCCGAAGCCGCTCTGTTGGACTGAGATCTGGTGACTGTGGGGGTCATTTGAGTACAGTGAACTCATTATCATGTTCAAGAAACCTCGAACCTTGGAATCAAGCTTCATGGTGGCGCAGTGTTTAGCACTTTCGCCTTGCAGCAAGAAGGTTGCAAGTTCGAAACTCAGCTGCGACCTTTCTGTATGGAGTTGCGTGTTCTCCCCATGCATGCGTGGGTTTTCATCCGGGTACTCCGGTTTCCCCCACAGATCACAACACGCCCTATAGGCTAAACTTTGTACGTCGCTTTGGATAAAAGCGTCCGCCAAATAAATAAACATAATCATAAGAAACCAGTCTGAGATGATTCGAGCTTTACGACACGGCGGATTATCCTGCTGGACGTAGCCATCAGAAGGTAAGGGATGAACATGGTCAGCAACAACACTCAGGTAGGCTGTTGCATTGCAATGATGATCAGTTAGTAGTAAGGGGCCCAAAGTGTGCCAAGAAAATGTCGCCCACACCATTACACCACCACCACCAGCCTGATTGTTGTACAAGGCAGGATGGAACCATACAGATTGACTCACAAGGCATCCATTTATTCTAGAGACCACAGCAAAAAATGAGTGAACTTGGTCTTTAAACAGTTTTTCTATCAAATCCTTCTTGGATCAAATTAATAATGTTCATTTTTTAAAAGTGATGTTAAAACACCAACGTCTGCTGCATTTTTGGTTCTTTTATAAAACACAGAAAAGGTTTCCTTTTTACCTTGCTGACTGTTATCATGATAACTGAAGAAAGAGACCGTAAACAAGAGGACAAACACATACAGCACGCTTTAAAGACCTGCAGATACCCGACATGGGCGATAAACAAAGGGAAACAAACAACAACAGAAAGAAAAGAACAACCAAAGCAAAGAACCAGAAACCCAGAAAGACGAGAACCAAAACCAGTGATAACCCTACCATACATCAGAGGCATAACGGAAAAAATAAGAGCAACAATGAACAAACACAACATAAACACACCAACAAAACCATACACAACAGTTAGAAACAGACTAGTGCACCCAAAAGACAAAATATCAGCTGGACTTAAATGTTCAGTCGTTTACGAAATCCCACGCAAACTCTGCAATAAAACATACATACAGGTGCTGGCCAGTAAATTAGAATATCATCAAAAGGTTGAAAATATTTCAGTAATTCCATTCAAAACGTGAAACTTGTACATTATATTCATGCAATGCACACAGACCAATGTATTTCCAATGTTCATTACATTTAAATTTGATATTCATAAGTGACAACTAATGAAAACTCCAAATTTGGTATCTCAAAAAATTAGAATATTCTGAAAAGGCTGAATATAGAAGACACCTGCTGCCACTCTAATCAGCTGATTTACTCAAAACACCTGCAAAGGCCTTTAAAAGGTCCCTCAGTCTTGTTTTGAAGGCACCACAATCATGGGGAAGACTTCTGACTTAACAGCTGTCCAAAAGACAATCATTGACACCTTGCACAAGGAGGGCAAGACACAAAAGGTGATTGCTAAAGAAGCTGGCTGTTCGCAGAGCTCTGTGTCCAAGCACATTAACAGACAGGCGAAGGGACGGAAAAAATGTGGTAGAAAAAAGTGTACAAGCTCTAGGGATAACCGCACCCTGCAGAGAATTGTGACGACAAACCCATTCAAAAATGTGGGGGAGATCCACAAAGAGTGGACTGCAGCTGGAGTCAGCGCTTCAAGAACCACCACGAGGAGACTCATGAAAGACATGGGATTCAGGTGTCGCATTCCGTGTGTCAAGCCACTCTTGAACAAGAAACAGCGCAAGAAGCGTCTCGCCTGGGCCAAGGACAAAAAGGACTGGACTGATGCTGAGTGGTCCAAAGTTATGTTTTCTGATGAAAGCAAGTTCTGCATTTCCTTTGGAAATCAAGGACCCAGAGTCTGGAGGAAGAGCGGAGAAGCACAGAATCCACGTTGCATGAGGTCCAGTGTAAAGTTTCCACCGTCAGTGATGGTGTGGGGTGCCATGTCATCTGCCGGTGTTGGCCCACTCTGTTTCCTGAGGTCCAGGGTCAATGCAGCCGTCTACCAGGAAGTTTTAGAGCACTTCATGCTTCCTGCTGCTGACCAACTTTATGGGGATGCAGACTTCACCTTTCAACAGGACTTGGCACCTGCACACAGTGCCAAAACCACCAGCACCTGGTTCAAGGACCATGGTATCCCTGTCCTTGATTGGCCAGCAAACTCGCCTGACCTTAACCCCATAGAAAATCTATGGGGTATTGTGAAGCGGAGGATGCAATACGCTAGACCCAACAATGCAGAGGAGCTGAAGACGACTATCAGAGCAACCTGGGCTCTCATAACACCTGAGCAGTGCCACAGACTGATCGAGTCCATGCCACGCCGCATTACTGCAGTTATTGAGGCAAAAGGAGCCCCGACTAAGTATTGAGTGCTATACATGCACATTCTTTTCATGTTCATTCTTTTCAGTTGGCCAACATTAGAGAAACAAACATTTTTTCATTGGCCTTTAGAATATTCTAATTTTCTGAGATACCAGATTTGATGTTTTCATTGGTTGTCACCTATAAATATCAAAATTAAACGTAATAAACATCGGAAATACATTGGTCTGTGTGCATTGCATGAATATAATGTACAAGTTTCACGTTTTGAATGGAATTACTGAAATATTTTCAACCTTTTGATGATATTCTAATTTACTGGCCAGCACCTGTAGGAGAAACCGGACGCCAACTCATCACACAAACAATAGAACATAGAAAGGAGTGCGAGAAAGGAACAACTCGAAGACACACAAGAGCAGCAAAACAAGCAGCAGAAAGTACAATAAAGAAGTCAGCCGTAACAGATCAGTGCATAAGAGAAAACCATGTAATAGACTGGGACAACACAAGGATCATAAACACCGAACAACAGAAATACAAAAGATGGATAAAAGAAACTATCGAGATAAGGAGACGTGGATGTGGGACCATGAACAGAGACGATGGAGTTTACTCATTGGATCGTGCATGGGACTGCATCATCGGAGAGGGGAGAGCGGGCAGCAGAGGGCGACAACGTCCTCTGATGGGAGTGACGCCACCATCGGCGTCAGCTCTGAGGAAGTTTGCAGCCGGTAAACGAAACTGTCAGCAAGGTAAAGAAAAACATTTTCTGTGTTTTAAAAAAGAACCAAAATGCAGTTAGACACTAAACACAGCAAGAACATGCCAAAGATGACCAACGTCTGCTATTACCAACATAAAACTCGCTTTGTCAGTTCGATCAGATATTTCAAAAATCAAAGATTATGATCATAAAATGATTTTGGGGGCTTTTTCTGCAACAGACCTTTGTTGAACCAACATTCTGAATTTCCAGAAACTATTCTGGAACAGTCAAGTCAACCATGGAAATGCTCCCCTACATTCACGTCCTGACTCCGCCGTTTCCCACCCCCAAAGTTGATTTAAATGGTGATTGTCAAATGAACTGAAACCCGCTGCTGTCCAGAGGGCAGAAAAATAGTTATTTGTGATTGTTTTGGAAGATGTTTGATGGTTAATTGGCTGAAACGCTCCGAAGTGCCAGTATCTGCAGCAGGAAAAGCATCCAAACCGCTGCAGTATTTTGACAACCAGCAGCTGTTTTCCGATGACGCCAGGCGTCGGATGTCGGTGATGCAGTGCTTTGAAGTTCCATCACTGTCTCAACAGGATGAGCCGCACCAAGATTCACAGATTTATATCAAGACAAATACCCCAGCTGCATTTTCACTTCATGTTCCACACGCTGGTGTTTTAGCAGCTCCCTGTTAGAGTCTAACTTCATCTCAGCTCGTTAGCAACACCGTTGTTCATTTAATTGTTAGATTAGATTCCTGACACAGCCTTTGGATCATCAAACAAAACATCAAAAGGGACATATTTTGCATCCTTTTGTCCTGCCATGTGGGTCTCTACTGTCTCTACAAAGCACTCCAAACATGAAAAAAGTAGTCCATTCATTTTTCGTCAGTGTTTGAGCTGTTTGTCAGAAAGTCCTGTTTGTGATGTCACAAATGGGACAATTAGAGTAGAATCATCTTACACATGAAAGAGAGAGGATCAGATCTATTCAGAGCTTCTCATCTTGTAGCAGCCTGAGCTGGGATGGGTGGGGGTGGACAGCTCCAGCTTGGTTTCTTAAAGTGACAGAGCCCTGAAACGGCTCATTCTGGAAGGTATAAAAAATGTCAAGAACAAAGCTGCTCAAATCGCTTTATTTGAGAGGGATTAAGTGCAAAGAACATCAGGAACATGTTTTTTTTTTCACCATAGAGCTGTTAGAACTAAATCACAAAATCCATTTGCTAGCAAGTTTCCAATTTGTTTCAAAATTGCACGGCCTCGCTCTGAGTCTGCTGGGTTTATTTGAGAGGAGATCAATGAA